ACTTGCATGAGAATTTGAAAAGCAGTTTAGCTGATGATATAATAGGATAATAATATGATACTACAGTTGGCATGTTTTCTAAAGTGCTTTTTAGTTAGATTTTCCTTCCTTTTATTTTTCCCCTGTATTTCCCCAACACCAAGACTATGCTTTGTGTCAGTGCAGCTTAGCAACTCTCCTGTGCCTTTTTGTCGTCATTTTGTTTGAGACCACATTTTAGATTCTAGTGGTAGAAATATTGTATCAATCCTTACATTTTAAAATGTAATTTGTTGTTAAAATTGTCATTAAAAATGAAAGTCTGYAGAATTGTTTAACTCCACACAATTGAAATGGAATGTGTAGGACTCAGTAAAGATTGTATTTCCATGTTGAAAGGACCTCATTATACGGGAATACGATAATGAAGGTACCTGGCTGATAGACCACTGTGTGTGCTCCACTGCCAATTATTTGCATTCTCTTTCCCACCAAGCTATAAATTCAGAAGCCTGCGGCACTGTGTGAGTGCTGGGGAGCCAATCAACCCTGAAGTGATGGGAGAGTGGAAAAAGCACACTGGGCTGGATATTTATGAAGGCTATGGACAGACAGAAACTGTATGTTTGGACTCTTTATGGATACAGCAATAAATTACATTAGGGTTGGCAAGAAAATGTGATTATATGCAGTTATGAGAGGGGAAAAGTCAATCATAGTAATAATAAGGARAAAAAGTGTGGCTTTTATAAGTTATATAATAATTTTAACAGTTTAACCCACAAATCCAAGGACAACTTTTCTTTCCAGTAGGTTTCTGGATTGGAAACTAACACAAAAGAAGCATATTCCTGATTGTTGGATGCCAAGTTTTGCTTTAAAAACCTATCTTTATTGCTCTTGTTAGTATTATTTGGAGCTTTGAGTATGATACTTACACCTGAGCATTCCTGGAAAGGTTCTAGGTAGGCGCTCCAAGAACCGTTCTTGATCAGCAAATCTAAAATTGTTCTAGTCTCGGCCTAGACAGTTCTAGATTTGCCTGTGATCCAGAACAGTTCTAGAGTCAACCTAGAATGGTTTTCAGTCAGGTTTAGAACAGTTCTGGGTCATGAGGGTCCTGTGAAAGTTTCAGATTGGGGAATTCCTAAAGGTTCTGTAGTGACAGAATTCCTGGGAAGATTCTAGATTGAGGCATTCCTGGAAATGTTTTGGGTCAGAGCACCTAGAACCTTTCCAGCTAGATTCGTGATGGGAATCTAGAACTGCTCTAGGCTGTCACATCTAGAACCATTCTAGGTCCACGTGCTTACAATCAGTCTTAGTTGGGGGCTCCCTAGGGAAGGTTCTGGATTAGATGATTCCTGGAAAGATTCTACAGTGGCAAAAAGGTTCTAGAGCTGGAGATTTCTAGATAGGTTTTAGATTGGGGGAATTCCTGGAAAAGTTATCATTTATTTCTAGAAGTAATCATTGAATATGTCATCATAATGCAGACTTAATTTGTATTTCTTATAGAGATCATGTTCTACCTTTATTTATTAGCTGAGCATTTTAAACAACTGAAGACTCAATATACAAATCACAATTTATTCTTTTTAAACCACTTGTTACAGGTGCTGATCTGCGGAAACTTTAAAGGAATGAAAATTAAGCCTGGCTCTATGGGAAGGCCATGCCCAGGGTATGATGTCAAGGTATCGTATGTCTGGTGGCAGTATGAAGAAGAAACAGTTCACTCCCCTCCTTCACTCTTTCTCTCTCTCTCCCTCTCTCTCTCTTTCTATCACAGTTACTTTGGAGACTATTAGAAGCTTAACTATTAGAAGAGGTCTAAAATTGCTGATGTGGTTATACCATGTATCAGTTTTTAACAGTGATTGAAAAAAATACATGTGCTACTGCCCTGAACTGAGCGTGCAAAATAAGCAATTGGGTTATTTGGTCACACCATCCTCACCAGGATCACAGAGATCACACCCACCACTGGCAGATGGCAGAACCTTGCCGAATGACTGCAAATAAATTGCTTAGTTCAGGAAGAGCAGGACTGATTTTTTTTTTTTTTTTTTTTCATGGTGAGAACAGACCTGCAGAGGCTGATTCTAGCACCAGATCAAGTTGTAATATTGGTAGGATTTTAGTATCTTGGTGCTCTTAAATTTTCCCACCACATTTCTGATCTTCCTCTCGGAGGTGGGGGGTTGCCTGGAGCGGGAAGGATCTTATGTGCTTAATTTCCTGTTTGCATAATACTTGGAATTCCTCAGAGAAAAGATGACTTACATTGGATTATTAGTGTTCTTATAGAGCAGTTGTCAGAGTAGTGCCTCCCACACCCCCAGCCCCCTAACTTCTCTACATTGTTTTCCAGAGAAGAAGAAAGTAGTTCAGTTTRGTATTTTAAATAAGCACAAGATATTATAGCCTTAATTTAATGTTTTGTCATTTGGATCAAAAATAATAAATTGGTGTTTTGTTTGTTTTTAGATTATAGATGAAAACAGTAATATTCTGCCTCCTGGGAAAGAAGGGGATATTGCCATCAGAGTAAAACCTACAAGACCCTTTTGCCTTTTCACTTGCTATTCTGTAAGAACACTCCTGCAGTTAAATKATAGGCCCTGTTAAGTTTCTGTCATGAGGAACCTGATGCCTCTTTCATTCATAAACACTCTGCTTCCTGACTTGAAAAAAGAAATGTGGAGAGGAGACAGGGGTTTTCATTCCCTCCTGCAGATATTATTCTATTTACTCAGCACCTGTCCTACCTGGCAAGTCAAGATTGATAATGAGAGTCTCATGATATTTCGTAGCCTAATGGTTGGGAGAAGGAGGAGCCCTCCATTCAAATCCCTTCCCAGAATTCGGGCAGAATTTGCCTCTATGAATATGAAGTAGATTCATATCTATCACCTCCTATATGTATATATATCACCTCCTCCTCCCCTGCTCCTGGCCTCCTTTTTTTTTTTTTTTTTTTCTTTTTTCCCCTAGGAATTTTAATTTCAGTCCAACGGCTGGAAAAATAAATGCATGGTGGTTTAGGTTCTGACCCTTAGAAACCTTACTAATGATGTCTTGTATCAGCCTATAGTCACGTTTCTCAAGTAGTAGAAAGCATATATATRTTGCCTGGAAAAACATACTCTAGCAGTGAGCTGCATTTGCTATACAAAGTGCATTTATTAATCAGGCTGTGCTGAGCCTAAACTTGTCATTGAGATGAAAAATATCAGGATACGAGATGCTATAAATACTAAGGAAAAAAAAAAATACGGGATAATCACCTAAAAGCAAATCCTGAGTATCATTTACTTCTGTATTTCTTGCAGCTTTCATCGTTTCCTTAAATCATAACATAGTCTTTTTAAAAGTTAAAGTCATAACCAGTAAAACTCAGTTATCACAATTTATGATTTTTATTAGTATTTTGTAGTAAATACTAACATTTAACTATTAATTCCCCATTATTAATATCCTGTATTACAACTCTCTTGAATTTAATGCACAAGATTATAAGTGCCAGTCTAAGAAGCTAACATTTTCAAATATTTTACTGTATTTTGACTTAAGTACTGAAATGCTAGAATACAGCTTTCATTTATTTTTAAGCAGTTTTGTACATGCATACAATTTAATGTTTCCCAGGACGATCCAGAGAAAACTGAGGCAACAGTACGTGGAAATTTTTATGTGACTGGTGATAGGGGGATCATGGATGAAGATGGATACTTCTGGTTTGTTGGACGAGCTGATGATGTCATCAATTCTGCTGGGTAATTTACTGCTGGTAAACAAGAATTCATTAAACTTGAATAATACTGGTGATTCAGTAGCATAACACTGTGTTTTCGAACAAAGTTAATGCACTTTCCTTCACTTTAAAGATACCGCATTGGACCATTTGAAGTAGAAAGTGCCCTAGTAGAGCATCCTGCAGTGGTGGAAGCAGCAGTTGTCAGCAGCCCAGACCCCATCAGAGGAGAGGTAAACAAGTTAAAACACATCTCTCCTCACATACAGCTTTGTGCATGGTTGAGCTAATAAAGCCCAGCTCCTGATGGATCTGTCTAGCCCTTGGCTGAATATTTTAAACTAAATTTAAAACAGTATTTGCACTCTATAAGACAGCGTGGACACTCCACACAGCAGATACCATCCAAGCTGCTTGCCCCATAGGCACTAAGACAAAAGTACGACCTTTCCTTGTCACTGAAGTACTTGCAGTCCAGACAAGTACTTTAAGAAAACTGTGTGTCCTGTACATTAGTTACTCTGCAGTGTGTCAGCAAATGTTTTATTTAAAATTTGTATCTTACTGTTGTACTGTGTTATTGCATTGACATTTAAGTACTTGCTCTTTTACTTTTTTTGAAGGTTGTGAAAGCCTTTGTTGTTTTAGCATCTGAGTATGTTTCACGTGATCCAGAAAAAATGATGAATGAGCTACAGGACCATGTTAAAAAAGTTACTGCTCCATACAAGTATCCTAGGAAGGTGAGTGCTCATACACAGGACCCTTTTAAGAAATTATTCATTATCATAAGAGACTTAGCATTAATTCCTCTAAGTCTCACAACTGCATACTAATGAGGTTAAGAAAAAAGTAAAACTAAGTAAATGGCAACTGTTTTTTTTAATTGCAATTTCCTCCCTTTTCCAATAGATGGAGTTTGTTCAACAGTTGCCAAAAACTGTTAGTGGGAAGATCAAAAGAAATGAACTGCGCCAGAAGGAATGGAAAAAAGTTTGAAATTACTTGCTGCTTTTTTTATAATATCTTTTATCAAGTAAGATATACTGATTTATACTGTAATGTAAAGTAAAAGACCTTGTATTTTGGCCTTCTTCACTTAGGTTTAACAAATTCTTGTCTGAGGCCCAGCTGACCCCCATGCTATAGTAGTAGCTCATAGCAAGAAAACAGGCACGCTGATACAAATCTATTGGGAAACCAGCCCAGAAAAAAGCACTATAATTAGTCAGTGTTAAATAAGTTTAGTAAACTCTTCTAGGCATTTTCTTCATTGTTACTTTTATTTAAATAAAACAGGAGATTTTTAAGAGAACACTGCTATTTCAAGAATCACATTTGAGAAGTGCAGCAACTAAAGAATACATTTTAAATTTTAAAAAGTTACAGCTCAACACCCATGTTAAGAAAAAGACAAAAATTGTATCAGTATCATTACAATGATGTTGCAAGACAAGTAAAGAGTTTAAAATACATGATAAAGCAGAAATATAAGATATTACCAGATRTTTGTACTTTTTAGCACTTGCAGCTTGATCAATTCTCCCCTTCKTTAATGAGATGGTTTATAGCATATGGGCACTCCGTATGCTTGAGTAGGTTCCACTTTTATCTACTTTAAGCAAGCATGTCATTTTTGTTCCATTCTCAGAACACATATCTAAGATCATTTGACCATCCTGATTTTATTAAGCAGGAACAAGTTTAAGATTTGGATTAAAAAACACAAACACACAAAATTCAAGTTCTCATAGAGGGTCTAAGATGCAACCATTTCTTGTTGGAAGAATTTCCTGAAGTACTGGAGGAAAGTCTGAGAGAGGTCAAAGTACCTGTGTTGATAGGGGGCACGTTAGAAGACTTCTCTTTTAGAAATGCATATTCCCACTTGAAGTATCCACAGCCTTGCCTTTTGCCTTCATGCTTACCAACAGGACAACAAAAAAATGGTTTGCCATGATTTGGGCCACTGTTTGATACAAACAGTCTTTTAGCTCTCCGACCACAATTGCAAAGAGGGGGGGTTGTTTTTTCATTTTTTGCAGCTCTTACAGACTGATTCAAATTGACTGTGGAATTCAGAATGGCAGGAGACACTCTGGACACGTTAGAATTTCTTAAAGGTAAGGAATGATTAAAAGATGCATTTTTCTCTTCATATATAGCAAAAGACTGTTTTTTCGCTGCTGGGAACATATTTGGACTCGTTAGCTTTCTTTTAGGAGCCTCTGAAGTGGAATCATTTACAGTTAATGCCGACTGTGATGAAGTAGCATTTACTTTTGCAGGTGGTAATTTAAAAGCAGAAAAACTTGAAGGCTGCCTTGGGACCATTCCTACATTATAAATAGTAGTATCAGGGCTTTTGTAAATGACAGACTTCTGAGGTTCTACAGGTACTACTGTTTTCTSCAGACTTTGAAAATCTGAACTCATCACAGCTGACGCTTTAGAAATTGTTGTTTCTTCAGATGCTGTCAAATTATCTGTCCTTAAGTCATCTTTAAATTGAGTACGATCTGACCTTTGTTCATACTGTGATTCTGGTATTAGAGCTACATCTTCCCAGTCAGTCAGCAGAGATAAACAATCAGAACTGGTACTAACATCCTCATCCGAGACATTAACTGAGGCGATGGTGGTAGAGACGAGCACTAACGCTGACCCGCAGCCTGGCGCGCTGTACTGGGCAGCGCTCATCACGTGCCCRTTGCTAAACCCTTTCTGAATGCCCACAGGGCAACAGAGCTGTGGCCCTCCAGGACGGAGGGGAGCCGGGTCTGCAGTTGCTGCTAAAGAGCTCTGGGCTTGATCACCCAAGTCAGTCCTGGAGCTGGTGCCAGGCACCACATGGATGTCTGCAGAGGACGTAATTGTATTTCTCTCCTTTTGCTCTTCCATTTTTTCATGGGAATTTATCCTAACTCTGGTAGCGCTGTTGTGGTTTCCCTTGCATGGAGAGCTCACGTTGCATGTTGTACCTCCGGATGTTTCAGCTCTGCTATTACTTCCCAGCAGAGTTTTGTCAGTGAAGTTTGTACTCAGTGGTCTGGAAATCAGGTTCTGCTTTGGATGTGCCTAGAAAGTCCACAACCAAATGGAAATTTGGGGAAATAAATACCCAGAAGTAGATAACAATGCTCTAAATTAATAAGCCTATTAACCTAACTGTGTTCTGCTCAATTCATAGTCAAGAGGCTGGCTTGACTATCTGAATAACTCACCTTTCRTCTGCATGCCAGACTCTGAAGCAAGTAGAAGGAAAGATAGGAAAAAGTCACCAACCTTATTCAAAGATTTAGTAACCTTCAGCACACATCCATCACAAATCATCCTCCATGCAAGCCGGGCAGTATTCCGAGAATCATCCAACCCTTCAAAGGAAGGGTTACATTAATAACCTTCAGTCTTCCTTTTAAACTACTACTCAGTGTAGTTAGTAGTAGTGGRAAAAGTCCACTCACTTTATAAATGAAAGGGTCTCACACAACTGTGACACAAGGTTTTATAGAGAACAGTTCAGAAAAGGACAGTGACAGTAAAATTCCTTTTGCTGAACATGTAATGGTCATCTAAGCAGAGTTTAACACGTGTTTATGATGACCAAAATCCCTGTTGTATCGTTTATATCAAATACATATAGCTCTAAGATTCTCTTACACTAATAAGCTGTCCAGAGCTATCCAGTAAGATGAAGTTTCCTTAATTCTTCCTCAAWTTTCTTATTCTCCCTTAATATTTTTCCATCTGCCCCCTCATAATTTAGTGTTTGGCCGTGTTGTGCAACAGACACTTAACAATACAAGACCAGATCTCAGGAGGAAAATAACCTCTCAGAAATTGGGGGGGGGGGTCTCAAGAGGAAAATAGCTCCCCTCCATATGAACATAGGAGATGACAAACTCTAATCTTTGAAGCATCTAGCCTTTCTATTTAGATGCTTTCTGCTGAACAGAATGTTCCAGAAGTTASAGTAGCTTTTTAGCTTTATAAAATATATATATTTACACATATATATTTTTTAAAGATGAGCATCATCATTATCATACTTACCAGAATGCTCCCGTCCTACAAAAGCTATCCCCAAATCCTGCAATGCTCCTTTTAGACCTTTAGGCTTCCTGTTATAGAATAACTAGGGAAAAAAAAAAAAAAAACTCAAGTGATTAATACATTTCATAGCCTCTTTATAGGGAAGTGCAAGCCATTTCAGAAATGCCACCTCAGAACCAAGTCTCGAGCTCAGTGTGCAAGTTAAGTGTCTCTGTCTTAGAACTGGRGTAAGTAACTGTTACCCTATCTTACCCTGTAGGAAATTAGAATGGAGAGAATCATGAATCTGCTTGTCTCAGTCTTAATCTGTTCTAGCCTAGCCCTGTACCAGTTTGGTTGAAATTTATGGTTTATACTGATCAAAGACTGAATTCAATAGCTTTGAAAAATACAATTATAACTAATATTTTGGCAAGATTATTTTATGCTATCTTTTGGCAACTGCTGTATACTGCAAAAGCAAAGGCATGGATACATTTGGCACAGGTGTAAGTGCCTTTTAAACAAGAAACAGTTACTCAAACCAGGTATCTCGTTGGACCAGAGGGGAGGGGAATGTTCACACTGTTCCTTTTCAGGGACCTAACTCTGCTGCCCAGGTTAGGGGTCTGAGCACCAGGAGGCCGTGGGCAGGAAGCCTCCTGGAGCCTTTTGAATTTCCCCTCAATGCGCGTGGGAACGCGGGTGCTGTTAGCCCCTACCTTACAGCTCTGAAGATCCAAATACCTCTCAAGACTGCTTGCTRCAATGTTAAATGAGGACTGCATAATACACATTCATTTTTTCAATATACATTTACATGCATGTAAAATATATATTCATTTTTTTCAGTATTACTCATGCTGTTCAGAATATACTGACTAATGAAAGCTCAATTCACGTGCTAGAGCCATAAAGAGAAGGAGCCTGAAAAGCTCAGGATTACCATCCTCTGCACAGCAATAGGGCAATAATGAGAACATGAAAAACAAGGAAGTTAAAGCAGCAAAGAGAGTAAATTGTTTCAGAAAAGGAAAAGCAGGTGTGGAAAAATCTGCCAGTATTATCACTTACTGCAGTGACATTTATCAATGTCACCAATGTTACCACTACTTAYAAATTTGTTTTCTTAGAACTAAGTTTTGTATTAAAATTGACATCGTTCTGGGGCATAAATTTTGACACTGAGGGATAGTAACATACATGGAAAGAAACCAAGCCATTCAAATGCACAGTACCAGTTTCTAACTTTAGACATGGTTAGCCCTGAGGTATTATTATGTATAAAAGTGTTTCACAGTACTGATTTTCTTACTCTGTATGTTGCTTTGAGATCAATCCAGGCATTGAAAATATCTGGTTTTCTTAGCTGCTTCCTTTTACACTCATAGTGCAAACACACACCCAGGTCCCAGTCTGCACAAAAGAACAAATACAAACAAAACTTTAAATTTCCACTTCTGATGATTACCAAAGAGGTGTTTATTATATCTGAAGAAGGCAGAGGTTACTAAAGAACACTAAGCAGTTCAGCAAGAAGTAATGCAACTATTTACAAAAAAAGCATATTCAGAATACGAGATATTTGTTTAATTGGGCACAAAAAAGAAAAGGATTGTTTCAGTTAAACAGCAGGACAAGTGAGTACCTTTTCTTATGAAGTTGGGATTGGTGAAGATCTTAACAGTCTCATTAAATCATCTAAGCCCGTAAGTATATTGACACRATAAATACAAAGCAAAAAAAGGGGGTAAGTATTGCAGACCATAGAGACAAAGACATACAGAACRTCTCAGTTTAATATTTTTCAAATTTTTGGTTTTATCCCAGCGTAATCCATCCTTAGGCCCCAATACAGAATTTTGGGCATGCAAGTCTAACAGAAGTCAGGCAGCGGCTCACTAGCACCACCAAACGTTCCCTCTTCGCTTGTGTCACTCTACAGAAAAGCAAAGGAAATTGTGTTTACCTGTCCAAGTCACAAAGGTGCAGAGCTTTGCTTCTGATGTGGAATTATTGGGAGTATCTGAAATGAACAGAATTTTCTTCTCCTGCTGTATCTTTTGGATCCATTTCACAAACTGTGACAAGCAAATGTTGAGAGGGACCCCTTCTTCAACTTGCTCCTGTATAAAGAGAGCCAGAAAGGGGCGTAGAGGTGTTAGTGCCCACTGAAAGGGGTTAGACCTTTCAGGAACTGCTCCGCTCACCGCGCAGGGCGGCGCGGGGCCTTTCGTGCCCCCGCTGCAGCGGCTCCCCCGCCSAGGGGCGCCTCCCGGGGCGGCTGCGGCTCAGCGCTACCTGCGTGATGCCCGTGAGCGCCGTGCAGAACTCGGAGAGAAGCGGCTGCTCCTGCGGCTGCACGTAGCTGTGGAACTCGGCCTCCAGCTGCCCGCTCGCCGTGTTCAGCAGCACCGCCGGGAACTCGACTGCGGCCAAGACGGGGCGGGAACGGGAAGGAGCGGGAATGGGGCAGGGAAGGAGCGGGAAGGGGAAGGAGCGGGAAGGGGAAGGAGCGGGAAGGGGAAGGGGAAGGAGAAGGAGCGGGAAGGGGAAGGGAAGGAGCGGGAAGGGGAAGGAGCGGGAAGGGGAAGGGAAGGAGCGGGAAGGGGAAGGAGCGGGAAGGGGAAGGGAAGGAGCGGGAAGGGGAAAGGCTCCGCGCGGCCGCCGCCGCYCCGCGCACTCACTGGTCTCGGGCGCGCGGCGCCCCGCGTCCCGCCAGCACGTCGCCTCCAGGTCCAGGACGGCCACGTAGGCGAAGCGCTGCGGCGCGGCCGGGCCGCGCGGGCCCCGCGGCCGGGCGCTGCTGCGCGCCAGGCCCAGCTGCCTGCGGAGGGCGGCG